AACTGGCAGCCGCTCTTCAGGAATATCAGTTCCTGGCATTGTTCATCATCAACTTCCTCACATTTTAACCCAAACTGTGACAATGTTGGGTTGTTGTAGGTTTTTTGAGCTGTATGGCCATGTTCTAGAAGCATTCTCTCCTGACATTTCACCTGCATCTACCTACAACAACCTACAAGAACCCAGTGATTTCAGCTATGAAAACCTTCAACAATACATTGTGGCAATGTTTCTTTATTTAACTACAACTTTCAACTTCTGGCTTAAGCTTGAGCTTGGAGAAAAAATAATTTTGGAGCGAAATGCCCAGAATCCCCCAGCCTGTGGTGGCTAGAGTATTTTGGGAACTGTCATCCAAAAGAATAATGTCATCACAGTCTGAAACCTCTTGCACCTTCAGCTGTGACTGCAGACTTCTGTCTGCATGAGTTTGGCTTTATATAAACAATCTGACTTTTTAACAAAAGCAGCTTTGAATTAGAAATGCAAATGATCTTGCAAAGAAATGTCACCATTGAAACTACTGGGTAGCATGAAGCAGCAGTGACTCAAGCATTTTTATTTTTTTATTTTTTGCCGTCTCAGGCAAAGAGCAAGATGGCACTCCATGACCTGGTCTATTCCATACAATAAAAAGACAACACTTTCATTCCACTTTAACTGCCTTGATTCCATCCTATGGGATCCAGAGTTCTGCATTCAACAGAATTCATAGAGTGGTTGTGAAGTAGACTAGGACTTCATGGAACTAGGATTTGAAACTCTGCTCAGTCATGAAAACCTACTAGGTGGCCTTGGGCAAGTCACTGTCTCTCTGCCTCAAAGGAAGGCAAACTCCACAGTGGTTCTCAACCTGGGGTCCCCAGATGTTTTTGGCCTTCAACTCCCAGAAATCCTAACAGCTGGTAAACTGGCTGGGATTTCTGGGAATTGTAGACCAAAAACATCTGGGACCCCAGGTTGAGAACCACATGCCAGTAAATCCTTGTGATATGGTTGCCTTAGGGTCGCTATAAGGCAGAAACAACTTGAAGGCACCCATAATAAGCACACTACACAATTTCATAAGATCCTATCATGTCATTCAAAGTTACTATATAATGCTATAATGCTATATTTGTATAGCATGAAAAGGCCCAGGTTCAAAACTGACTAGAGTGGCAACTGTATTTTATTTCAAAATTTCTGGCAGGACCGTATTCTCCACCATATGTAACTGACTCACAGCAGGATATATGGCACCTAAGAGGTTTCCAAGACATTGGCCTCACTCCACCCCAGCATCTTCCCATCCAAGGCTTCATTCAGAATGCAGCTACACTACAGAATTAATGCAGTTTGACACCATTGGGAAATGTAGGTTTACAAAGCCATTGGCTTGGCACCTCACCAAACTCAAAATCTCAGGATTCCATAGTTTTGAGCCATGGCAGTTAACGTGGTGTCAAACTGCATTAATTCTGTGCTGTGGATGCATCCTCAGTTTCATGAAAAGCCAGCATCGAACCCCATTAAAGAAAAACCAATGTAGTCAGCTTTGGCTTGGTTTATTTTTATCCTTCTCTAATATCTTACATAATAACCTGTAGGAAACCATATTAGAACTCGAAAGCCTTGTTATTTTTACTTTGCTTACTGTATTTATATGTTTTATGTATTTTACTGTGTTGTTGTTTGTGCTTTGGTTTTATCTTATTTTATGTAATATGCTGTTGGGCATGTAAGCCGCCCTGAGTCCCCGCCGGGGAGATGGTAGCGGGATATAAATAAAGTTTATTATGTATTGTCAAAGGCTTTCATGGCCGGAATCACTGGGTTGTTGTAGGTTTTTTTGGGCTATATGGCCATGGTCTAGAGGCATTCTCTCCTGACGTTTCGCCTGCATCTATGGCAAGCATCCTCAGAGGTAGTGAGGTCTGTTGGACCTAGGAAAAAGGGTTTATATATCTGTGGAATGACCAGGGTGGGACAAAGGACTCTTGTCTAGTAATGCCTAGAGCAAACAGCACAACAGAAGAGAGGAAACAAACAAGGACATCTAATCACCTCTCAACAAATGTTTGCTCCAGGCACTGTCAGGCCATTGTATGCTAATCAAGGTGGTCAGTTGAAACATTCACACCTAGCTCCAGCAGACAAGAGTCCTTTGTCCCACCCTGGACATTCCACAGATATATAAACCCTTTTTCCTAGTTCCAACAGACCTCACTACCTCTGAGGATGCTTGCCATAGATGCAAGCAAAACGTCAGGAGAAAATGCCTCTAGACCATGGCCATATAGCCCGAAAAAACCGACAACAACCCAAAGTTTATTATATTATTATTATTGTTATCACCACATTTGCCCCAGTAAGGAGCAGCTGTCAGTTCCTCAGGCAGTTGACTTCACTGCTTCTCTTCTGAGAAAAGTCCCATAATTTTATTTTCTTGACTGTTCCCTTCTGCTACATCACAGGAGGTTAGCAGCCACCTACTCAGTCACTTACATTTTGGGGTAAGAGCGCCTCCATTTACTCAGAAGAATAGAACAAGAGTGGGAAGCGGGGAGCAGGAACTTCTTGTGTTCCCTAATAAAACACACATTGTAATGTTGCATTTCAGTGCAACATTACAAGCCTCATATAACCCTGCTCTCTCCTTCAGAGGCAGGTTATACAAAGTGCTTCCGAGTACTTTTAGCACTGAGTTTTATTTAGGGGAAGTGTCAAAATGAGTATATTTGTCCAACTGGCGTGGCTTTTAACATAATTCCTGCTGACTAATAAAGGGACTTACTATAAACTGTAGGGAGCCAGCTCTCTGCAAAAGCATTACAATGTTTTTCTTCCCTTCTCCACTTCACAAGCATTTTTTTTTACCAACAAAAAGAAAAAGTATCAAAAGTAGCTGTCAAGCCAACTGTTAGTGATGATGACCAAAATGCTCTTGGCTGGCTTTACAACAAAAAGTAAAATTGGAACCTTTTCTTTTTAGAAGCACTGGAATAGTGTGCATATGTATGTTTTTTGATGGCTATTTGTAGAGAGCAAATCAGGATACACACCACGGAAAAATAGTTTTGGCTGGAGTCCTGTTATTATTGTATAGAGGCTTGCATTCCCCAATAGAAGACTTTTTTTGTGATTTGAGCATCTACACCTTGGCAAACCAGGGTTTGAATCCCTGCTCAGCCATGAAAGCAATTGGGTGATCTTGGACAATTGGGTGATTTTCCTCTCTCAGCCTCAGAGGAAGGCAATGGCAAATGTCTTCCGAATACATTTTGTCAGGAAAACCCCATGATAGGCTTGCCTTAGCGACATCTATCTTCCTAATGGCGAGAGCTGTTCAGCAGTGGAACTCTCTGCCTTGAAGTGAGGTGGAGGCTCCTTCTTTAGAGACTTTTAAACAGAGGCTGGGTGGCCATCTGTCGGGGGTGCTTTAAATGTGATTTTCCTGTTTCTTGGCAGAATGGGGTTGGACTGGATGGCCCATGAGGTCTCTTCAAACTCTAGGATTCTATGATTCTATTCTATGATTCACCATAGATCAGAAACAACTCAAAGGGATACAACATAAACACATTTCCTGCATTCACTCTAAGGTCACAGAAGTGGAGTTACACATATAGTGCATCTGGTGATTACACATTTGATCGTGTGGTATCACCATTCCAACATAGGGGACTATGTAGCATAATCAGTATGTAACTTTTATGCTACATAGTACTGATATAGTATTTCAGCCCTAATGCTTTGTCAACTGTGCATTGTGTAGTATCTTGTCATTTTGTGCTTTCAAGTCATTTCGTAAGTCATGGTGACCCTAAGGAAAACCTATCATGGTGTTTGCTTGGCAAGATTTGTTCAGAGAGAGTTTGCCATTACCTTCCTCTGAGGCTGAGAGCATGGGACTTGCCCAGGATCACCAAGTAGGTTTCTATAGCTAAGCAAAGATTTGAACTCTGGTCTGCAAAGTCCTAGTTCAACCATTAACACCACACTGTACTTTCTAGCAGACTAATAGTATCTTAGCTCAAGCTAAGTATCTTACTATCTTAGCTGATGGCGCAGTGGGTTAAACCCTTGTGCCAACAGGTCACAGGTTTGAATCTGGGGACAGCGAGGATGAGCTCCCTCTGTCAGCTCCAGCTCCCCATGCAGGGACCTGATAGTATCCTCCCACAAGGATGGTAAAACATCAAAATATCCGGGGGTCCCCTGGGCAACGCCGTTGCAGATGGCCAATTTTCTCACACCAGAAGCGACTTGCAGTTTCTCAAGTCACCCCTGACACGAAAAATAAGCCCAAGCAAATGAGGGATTGCATAGGTTTGGTGTCAAATCATTCTATGTAACTGGCATTGTTACAAACACTAGTAAAGATGTCCAGCTTTGAACATTTTTGACTTTGGCCTGGTTGTGTAATGCCTTCTCCAAATTTGGAGAAAAATGTCAAGTAGAGGTGTAAACACAGAATTTCAAAGGTCTTTTACCTGTTGGCAAGATCACAAGAATTTTCACACTCAATCATAGAATCAAGATTATAAGGGCTATCCAGTCCAACCCCATTCTGTCATGAGGTATATACAATCAAAACACTCCCAACAGATGGCCACCCAGGCTCCAGTTAAAAACTTCCAGAGCATGAAACACCATCATACTCTGAGGCAACATATTCCACTGTCAAGCATCTCTTATCATCAGGAAGTTATTTCTAATGTTCAGATGGAATTTCTTTTCCTTGTAGTGTATGTCCTAGTCTCTGGAACAATATCAGACAAGCTTGTTGCACCATAGATTTTCAATAGCTTTTTATTTTAGGACTTTTGACAGAAATAATCTATTTTACTTTTGCTCAAATTGCTTTTTTATTAAGTCTTGAAATGTCAAAAATCTTGCTCAGTTTGACCGCTATTTGGGTGCAACGTCTTGTCATTCCACCTCTAGGTTCAGGATGTTGCAATACCATACTTTAATTTACTGTGAAGTTTTCATTAGTTTGGGTTTTTTTTCCATAGGTGTTGTTTGAAAATGGCAGTGACATGGTCAGCCTGAAAGGACTTGGAAATTTATCCATTGTGCCAGTTTGGGTAAATCACTGACATTGCTGCACCCAGCCTCCACTGCCTACTTTCCTTCATCATGGCCAAGAGTGCAGAAGTTAAGCTGGCCATCTTTGGTCGAGCAGGAGTGGGGAAGTCAGGTAAGTCTCTTTTCTCCTCCAGAGTTCCTTACTACACTTTGTGTGCTATGTTTTCATTTTATTAGAGTGTTTTGTAGGCAAGCCCATGCAGGTAAGTGTGAGATGACTCATAGGGAATGGCAGAGGTCTCCAGAATTCTCAAAATACTCCATTTCATTATGGTATAGTCAGCCCTACACAACTGAGGGTTTAAAAGAAGAGGTGGGATGTTGGTGAGAACACTAGAAATGGCTCTTACACTAAATCGTTATACAGGCCGATCCAGAGTCAAATTCTGGATCAGCCCCAAGATGATTTTGATCACCAACCTCCTGGCTGTACAGAGATTGGAAGGAATCTTGACTGTCTAGAAACAGCTCGACTGCTTACATTGGCCTCAAAGTTGTAATTTCCTCTGGATTCTTGTGGAGAATTTGGAAGAGCTCATGACTTTTGTCAATGCAGTTAATCTTGGTGGCAGCATGCAGTTGATGTTTCACCTGCTGTTCAGGATAATGGGTCAATGTAGAGCCATGTTTTCAACAGGCAACGTAAGGATACACGATGACTTGGCCATGGTGGTCCACGCCCTTGTTACATCCCAAATAGACTACTGGAATGCGCTCTATGTGGGATTGCTTCTGAAGGCTGCTCGGAAGCTTCAGCTAATCCAATGCTCAACAGCCAGGTTACTTATGGGAGCAGGGTACAGGGACCCCCTTGTTAAACTACACTGGCTGCCTATTAGCTTTGGAGCAGAATTCAAAGTGCTAGTTTTGACCTATGAAGCCCTAAACGGCTCTGGCCCACTTTACCTGTCTGAACATGTCTCTCCCTATGAACCATCAAGGACCATCTGAGGATGCCCCTGCTCTCAGTCCTGCCACCATCGCAGTCGCGTTTGGTGGGGATGAGAGACAGGGCCTTCTCCGTGGTGGCCCTTCGGCTGTGGAACTCCCTCCCTAAAGAGATTAGGTCTGCTCCCTCCCTCCTGACTTTTCGCTTAAGACTTGGCTGTGGGAGCAAGCGTTTGCAGACTAGACTGTTCTTATTGGCTTAGATGAGATTGTATGGACCGCAGTTTTTGGACTGATTGGAGCATGTTTAAACTTGGCGAACTGTTTTTAAATGTATATTTATTATTGGTTTTTGTAATTGTGTATTTTATTGGTGTTTTTATATTGTTGGAAGCTACTCTGAGTCCCTCTTTGGAGGTCAAGAATAGGATGGGATACAAATGTTCTAAATAAATAAATAAATACACATACATACACCCATATAGAGAGCCACACTACCAGTTTCTGAAGAAGGCAAGGAAGCCAAAGACGAGTCTAAAGAGCATACTAAGGTCAAGAAGCCAAGGGAGTTAAAGAGTGGAATGTGAAGAAGCTCGAAACAGGGAGTACCAGCAGGCTAAGGCAGAGGTTGAATCCAACAAGCGCAGGTCTCTGGCGTAGATGCTTTGTCCTCGGCTCTCTTGAGAAAGGCATCTGATAATAATTAGGGCTGCTTCTGTTGTTTGCCTTTCTTGCAGTCTAGCACTCCTCTGCAATTGAGTTCTCTCCAGCTGTGGTTTATGTCAGCATCTGTTTCTAGGCTTGGAGGCTCAGCATCAACGTCCTCCCCAGCTCTTGAAGGGGGAGATGGATTCCTGTTAAGGACTCTGATCCAGCCTCCAAATGACCCAGGGGAGATCTGGTTGTCATAGCCCTCCACTGTATAATAATCCTTCTTGCTGGAGCTCATCCTTTTGGCTCTCTTCTTCTGCTGAGGATGACTTTTCCAAAGGCCATGCATTCTCCACTTCTGTGCTAGCTCTTTGCAAGATTCTGGATGTTGCAACTTTTCCAGGCCCTCAAACCAATATGTCTAATATTAACTAGATTTTCCTCCTTCTATTGGTACCAAACTTGGTCCCTGGCCCCTTCCACATAGCTGAATAACATCCCACATTATCTGCTTTGAACTGGAATATATGGCAACGTGGACTCCAATAACTCAGTTCAAAGCAGATATTCTGGGATTTTCTGCTTTGATGTTCTGGGATATAGGGCGGTGTAGAAAGGTCCCCTTGTCTGCATCACTTTGCAAATTCCCCTAAAGAATCAACTCTAAAATAGATAATGCATTTCTGTGTATATTTGTCTTAATACAAACATTTCTGTAACTATTTTGCCTCATAGCTACATTTCTGCAAACAGTTTTCCTAGTCCTTGAGTGTCCTGTTGATTTATATTCATTTATAAGCACTTCCTGGCATATGTTTTTGTATCATTTTTTTGGCCTCACATCCATGTACTAACCAGAGCTGACCTGCTTAGCAACTAAGATAAGATGTCTTTTGCTTATTTAGGCATGAAAGGACTCCTGTGGATCTAAAATGGCCAAGTGTGCAAAAACATGTTTCCCCGTTTGAGGGTCCTATCTCATCCAACCTTTCACAGATGAAAACAGGGATATACGTGGTTGTCATTAATGAGAAAAGAGTTTGCTTTTGGCTGGATTTAGTGGGAAGTGTAAGATTCTGCCAACCCTTTGAGTGTAAGTGACTTTTCCCCTTTGAACTCAGTTTGTGGCAGTTGAAGCAAATTGAGGACAAAGGGGGAAAGTGGCTAGAGACTAGGGAAACAGGGGTCTTTTGAAAATAGATGAAAATGTGGGATGACAGAAAATTAATTGGAACTGCCTTCACCAAATCAGAACAATTGGGGGGCCTGCCTTTTTTGTCCATTAAGGGGCTTTGTTTTTTGCCCATAGCAGGAACTGCACTTTGTCCACCCTGTTCTACAGGGCTGGTTGTTCTGAGTCAGGCAAGTACAGGCTGACTTGTAGAACTGAAATGGAACAAACAAGCTCTACCCATGGGCCTTATGTTATCCTTGGCATTTTAGTAGCATTAAGTATCAATGGAACATTGGGTGAGGTCAGCATGACTTTTTGGAATGGCCAAGCTTTGCAGCAATTTGATGTATTCAGAGCCTGAATACATCAAATTGGTGTTTTGGAGCTGGGTCAGCAAGGAGAAAAGACCTGCCAGCCTGCACATCACAGATTATCTCCCTCATGGTGTCCATTAAAAAAACCCACCATTCCAAATGACTCATTTGTCAATTTAAATCTTGTTAACAACAGGAGTTGAACTAAGCCAAAGCATATTGAGTTCTATTTTGTAGGTCAAAGCTTTCTTGTGAAGGTAAATTAATTATCCAATTAGTCACCAAAATTCACCAGTTTGTTAACACTGTTTGCATAGAACTGTGATCTTGCAAAGGTTTGTGGATTGTAGTTTCTATACTCTTTCACAATTGGCCGTGCTAGGTATGGCAGCTGACATAACCAGGAGTAGGAACCATGAACTGCTGCGTTGTTGTTGTTTGGTTCCTACTGTTCATCATTTGCTAGGGACTTCATTATTTTTGGATAGGAAAGAGACATACAATGATATTCTGCATTGACTAAGTTAGATGTGTGATCTCCTGGTCAATCTGTCAAAACCCCCATTTAATAGTCAGCAATCACATTGGGCAAAGGAGGTATATACAGCTGACAAGTGGGGCTCAAGGAGGATAATAGAATCATAGAATCAAAGAGTTGGAAGAGACCTCATGGGCCATCCAGTCCAACCCCCTGCCAAGAAGCAGGAATATTGCATTCAAATCACCCCTGACAGATGGGGTGATTTCCAGCTTCTTGCCAGCTGTGAGTAGTGTTGCTTCAGATTGGCAGTCTTGCTCATTGGTGGGAGGGAGCTGGAAATATTCTCCTCCTTGTGCACCACTTTGACTTATATGGCTGCTTGTTGTTAAGGTGGACACAGAGAGCATTATGTAGCCCGACAATAGGACTACAAAGTCTTACAGAATACAAGTAGTTACACATCTATAACTTTAGGTTATAAACCCATAATGTCAATACAGAATGCCATAAATTCTACTTTGTCCATTGAAAGGACTCTATGGTGTAGGATGGTTGTTTGACACCCTGATGTATACAGAGAAATTCTGCTGCTCCCGTCAAATGTTGGCAACCATAATAATTTTTGGTGCTACTTAATTAGATCATTAGCAGCCATGGTCTAATTCATGGGGCTGCCAAGAGGTCCAGTGCAGACGACACCAAAGCCATGTTAAAGATGGCAAGCAGGAGTCATGTTGGGAGCTAGAGTCCAACAGCAACTGGAGAACCATATGTCCCCCATTCTTGCTTTTACTGTAATGCAGTCTTGGCTCTCAACTTTTATTAGTTTGAAATCCGGGATTTCCCCATTAACGGTTTGCCATCCCGTTTGTGTCTCCCATCATTCTTTTTTGTTTATCCTGTTTTCTACTTATGTAGATCATTTTGTTAAAGAGATGTAGCATTTACTTTGAGAATGGTGCACTTCTGGATTATGAAACTGCCACTGTACAGTTTCTGAGGAGCTTGATAGAAGTGCTCTGCTCTCGGTCCTTGTAGATAGCTGTGATGTGATGGATGATGTGCTCCCTCTCCAGATCCTCAGGATTTCATGCCATCAAAGGAAGGGTGCCATTCTTGCAAGGCAGCCAGAAGAAAAGTCTTTCCATCATGATGACTAATGTGGCAGCACGTTGTACTGCTTGCAAGCCTCCTCCCTATTCAGCAATATTGGCCAGACAGCTGAAAGTTCATGCCAAAAAGAAGAAGCCAAAACATTATCCAAGATCTGGGAGGAGAAGAAGAAAAAGGTGATGGTGGATCAAGAACACAAGCCATAAATAAGATGACTTTAGTTGCCAAAAATTCATGACAGAGTTTATCATGAACTTTGTTCTTTGGTTCACCCTTTCCAAATTAACGGCCAAATACTATGCCTAGGATAAGGATGTGCATCTGCTTCTGAGGTAGAGTTATAGAATCATAGAATCATAGAGTTGGAAGAGACCTCATGGGCCATCCAGTCCAACCCCCTGCCAAGAAGCAGGAATATTGCATTCAAAGCACCCCTGACAGATGGCCATCCAGCCTCTGTTTAAAAGCTTCCAAAGAAGGAGCCTCCACCA